ATGAACGTGGCAGGTGCGTTGGTGAGGCCGAACGGAAGTACTCGGAACTCGAAGTGGCCGTTGCGGGTTCGAAACGCCGTCTTGTTGATGTCGTCTTCGGCGAGGCGGATCTGGTGGTAACCAGAGCGTAGGTCGAGCTTGCTGAAAACCGTTGCTTCCCCAAGCATGTCGAACAACTCCTCGACACGGGGCAGCGGGTACTTATTCTTGATAGTGATGGCGTTGAGGGCGCGGTAGTCGATGCAGAGGCGCAAGTCACCTTCCTTCTTGCGAGTGAAAAGCACAGGGGCAGTGTATGGTGAGGTGCTGGGGCGGATGAAACCCTTCGCAAGAAGGTCATCGAGTTGTCGTCGAAGCTCTAAAAGTTCAGCAGTGCTCATGCGATAGGTTGGGCGCACGGGCGGTGTAGAACCTGGAATGAGGCGGATGCTATGGTCAATAGCACGCTCAGGTGGAAGTTCGGAGGGTAGATCATCGGGAAACACGTCCGTATAGCCGTTGAGCAGATTCTGTATGGTTGATGGCAGAGGAGTAGCTGATGCGTCAGATTCGGGAGCCGTGAAGATGACTAGGAGATGATGAGGAGGAGGTGGTGAAGGAGGGGTGGGGGCTGGTGGATTGATAACTTCAGAGGTGGGGCGGATGATGGGACGGCGTGGCTGCTGGGTTGGGTGGGGTGGAGAAGGAGGAGGTGTGTTGATCACTTCGGGAGAGCCGGGTGGTGTTGGCTGCTGCACGGGAGCTATGCGAGGAGGAGGGAGAGGGGGGATATGGGAAGATGGGGATGGGGCAGGTTGGGGTGGGTGGGTTGACGAAGCGGAACTGGTTGGGGATGACCATGGTCGACGGAAGGAGTGGGATGGGAGGTCGTAGCTGCCGACGGTGACAGTTCCGTTGCGCCAATAAATCCGCGGTCCAAACTGGTGCAACCATGGTCGACCGATAACGCCTTCGTACCCCCCGAGGTGCAGTTGCTCGAACGTGACCGTCGCCTCTAGACTTCCAAACATGCAATGCACGGGGAGGAGGGTAGGTCCGCAGTGCCGCCGGGTACCATCTGCCATGATCACGGCCTGCGGGTTGCTGTTGGGATCTTCGGGGAGAGAAAGTTCAGCAGCAATTGAGGGAGAGAGAAAATTTACTGAAGCGCCGGTGTCGAGCAGAAAGTCAACGTAGCGATTCTTTATTTTTGCGTATAGAATGATGGCGGGGAATGGAGCGTTTGATGTGGTGTAGAGTTCAGAGGTGCCGATGAACAATGGGGTCGGGAGAAGCGGGGCATGCGATGCACCAGAGGTCTGCCCCACAGCTACTGGCGCTGTCCGTTTCCCCGTCCTTCGTTCGGGCTGCGACGATTCGGGCAGTTCCGCTTGATGTGTCCCATCTTCCCGCATTGGTGGCACATGACGTTTGAGGTATTTCGCGGCTGCCTCTCCATCATTCCCAGCTCCATGGGTGTAGGACCGTTTGCACGAGCAGCTAGAGTGTGATTCGTGTGACCCATCCTCATGCCGTTGAAGCGTTGGAACGCAGCGAAGTTGATCGTGTCGAAGCGTTCCGCCACACGGATCATATCATCCATTGACGTGCATCCGCGAAGCTCCACTTCGGTGCGAATTTTTGGTTTCAGCCCGCGCTTGAACTTGTCCATCTGCTCGGAGGCAGGGATGTCGGGAATCTCCAGCACCAACTCCCGGAAGCGGTTGACGTATTCGGCTACGGAGCGGTGTTGGCGTAGTGCAGCGAGGTTGTCACGAGCGCGTTCAATCGCGTTGACAGGTTCGAAGTTCATGGTGAGCGATGCTGAAAATTCCTCCCAGGTTGAAATTGTAGCGTGGCAGCTCTGCCACCAAGTAGCAGCAGCACCTCGCAGCATCATGCCGGCGTGCCGCGCCCATTCGGCTTGGTTCACGTGGCATAGGGAAAGGTACTCCTCCATTTGGAAGAGCCATCTTCGCACAGGTAAGTCTCGTTTTCCAGGGACAAACGGCTCAGGTTCAGGTGCTCTCGGACGTGCAGAGACCACAGCAGGTGCTGGCGCCGGCACCTGTGTGCCCAGGAGTCCACGTTCCTGGAGTTCACCGAGGATCCGGTCACGCACCTCGCGTTCAATTTCTCGGCGCATATTGGCGACAAACTCGTTCCAGAGTTCCGGAGTCATATCCGACGGCCCAGCCATAGGGTCTAGAATATGGCAGGAGCGTGCGAAGTGACTAACCAGTGAAACGTTGCTGGCAGGGAAGTAGCAGCCTTAGTAGGCTAGGAGACGGGGATGAAGTGCTCTCTGGAATTCTCTGGAAATTTCACTATGACTTCACAAATTTGACAGTACAATTTTATCACATTCAAACATCGAGTCGCACTCCCAAGTCGCGACTCTCTCTCTGAATTTCTCAATGGTAACCCAACCCTTTGAAATGAACCTGCCGTGAAATTCAGAGAATTATTGCGGTACGGGATTGGACGGCGAGCTTGGTTACGGGGCTGTAATTTCGTCGGTGTTGTTGGCGAAGTCGGCGAGCGGTCGGAACTTCGGAGTCCTGCATTTCGTACTTTTCGTGCGTGGGATTGACTTGGGCTGCGTGTCGGAATCTGGTCGCCCAGCTGCAGGATGGGGCGCTTGACCAATCCGAACTGTAGGTGAGGTGGCGCTTGACTTCCGCCCACCTGCACTGTTCTTGGAGTTGAGTTGCTGCACTGTTACGATTGACTTCCGCCCACCTGCATTGCAGTTGGCAGCATTCGGCTGCTGCACTGTTACAGCGTTATGGTTCACAAACTGCCTGGTTGTGATCAAGTTCCCAACTCCGAGTTGGCCCGTCGCAATTGACGACGGGGGGAGAGACAATCCGCGCAAGTGTGCTAACACTGTAGTGTGGTTCGCTCGGACTCCCAACACAAACAGGGTAACCATGTGGAGGCAAGTGATAAACCTTTGCCTCCACCCCCCCCAAAGTGCACCCTTGCTTTAAGCACGTTTTCCCGCACTCAACCGTACGCCAAAGCAAGTTTTCTTTTGAAAACCGTTGTGTACCTTTCACCAGGAGAACATTTGCCCGTCACCTATCTGCAGTTCGGTTGTAAGCACCAGACCGCTACGTTCCAAGCAACAGAACGCACTGTAGCCAGTGCATCCCAATGCCAGTGTGGCGCGAAACAGGTGTACCACCAATTTCACAGCTGTTCTGGGTTGGGTGGATACTGCCTTGCCCAATTGTCTACTGTTTCCTTCATTGTCACAGCCATTCCAGTGCCAAAGTAACGGCGTCGGATAGGGGAGTACCTGTCACATCACATCTGTCCATGGGTAAATCTGGAAGATACGACCTTGCCTAACCCGTGCACGTGAATTTGCCCCGCACCGGATGGAAACCCTGCACCCGAGGTTTTTTCCCCAGCCAGTTGCACGCCCGTTATAAGCACGTCGCGCAAGTTGCAGTGGTTATGAACCAATAGTAACGAACAGACCGAAGTCACACTGAAGAGACTGAAGTCAAAATGTCAACGAATAGGTTACAAGAGTTTTATAAGCACCTGACGAATCCTTTTTTGCTCGCTGCGAATCGACGAAATTTAGGCGAAATTCGGGTTACAGCTTATAAGCCCTCTTTACAAGGCAACCGGGAGTGGCTCAAACGGGCATCATGTGTACTGTTTCCTTCATTGTTACAGTTGTTCCAGCGCCAAGATCAAAAGTAACGGCGTCCGATAGGGGAGTAACTGTTACATCACATCTGTCCGTGGGTGAATCTGAGTTGTATCACTAACAACGCATTCTCAAGTTCCCCCACCATCGATGTACACATGATGCTCACCCACTGCATGCGAAATTGCCTTGCACCAGATGGAAACCTTGCACCCGTGGGTTTTGTGCCGTGAGGTTGCACCCACGTTACAAGCACGTCGACCAATACGAACCACAGAAACTGAAGTCTGACTGAAAAGACTGCAGTCAAACAGTCAACGGTGAGTTACAAAAAAAATTATGAGCCCTTTTTGCATGAAACAAATTGACGAAACCTCCGCGAAATGCCAGAATCACTTATAAGCCTAGAGGGTAAGGCAAGTTCGGGGGGCTCAACCGGGCATCGTATGTACCCCCACCAGCCCCTTATTTTCAAAGCTGATGGAGGTTTTGGTGCAAAAGCTCCCACTCTCACCACCGAACCTCATTTTGGCGGGGGACAGATGTCGCCATCATCGCATGTGCGGTATCCAATGAACTTGTTGCGCCAGCTCGCATACCAAGTGATGGAGTCAGGGTGAATTCCTAGCTCGTGTCTGACATCAGGTCATCAGCCCTTAGCCTCTGATTCATCCCTTCCGAATTTTGAGCTGAGCTGATTGTCGCTGACGTTGCTGGGGATTGAGTGGGGCATGGTGATGGTGGGCGGTTGTGGGAAGGGTAAAGAGGGGACATGGTGGATCGGCGCAGGTGAGGGAAAGTGTAACTTTGCTAAATATTCTAGTGACTTCCAGCCACTTAGAGCTCTGCGATGCTAGGTATATGGCTGCTAGTTCAGATGTGGCTCGTGGCTGCTAGATCAGATCTGTCTTTGTAAAAATGGGGGGAGTAAACAAGAAAAAAATCCAAAGGGCACATGAATTGCTGACATAGATGAACATCGGTTGAGAAGGATAAGAACAAGGCAGAGAGCTCACAGTGTGAGAAGGTAAGAACAAGGCAGTGAGCTGACAGTGTGAGAAGGTAAGAACAAGGCAGTGAGCTCACTGTTCACTAAGCCAAGGGGTTTCCCACAAAGCAAAGTTGGGTAGCGAGCCAGAGAAAGCGTTGCCTTGCAGCTCACTGTGTGGAGGCATGGTTTGCATGGGATGGGGATGGGGGAATGACCAGCAGTGTGTGTGAAAGAGTTCACAATCGCACATACACAATGAGCATTGTGGTCGTTTTGAGGGATCTCAATCAAGAGACAACTTGAGCACACGCCCTTGCCTCCGTCCTTCCTTCCATACCGGGACCAAGCAACTTCAAGGCGCGCTTACAGAGTCCAGAGATTGTCGGAAACGAGGGCAGAAGGAAGGGGACCTTGAAGCTGGTTGTGAGCCATGGAACTGGAGAGGTTGAATGGGCGATGGTGGAAGGGAGTAAGACGATGGTAACATGCATGCATTGAATATCCCAGAAGGGAATTGCTGTAGTGAGGAGTGAGCATTTAGTGACCCAAGGGCCATGGCATGATGCAAGGCACATGAGACATGTGCACTGCATGCCGCATGAGCTTCCACCTCCGTTTCCGTGCCGCCTGCACCATCCCATAGCCAGGTGCAAGCCATCCCGCTTGCATGCTCGGCTCTCTTCCATGCTAACAAGGGTAATGTGGCATGGCACACCATGGCAAGACAAGGCACGGTATGGCAGGACAAGGCACGGCATAGCAAGACACGACATGGAATGATAAGGCTGAGGGAGGAGGTGGCTTAGGCTAATGTTCTTCGCCTCTGGGACAAGGCACCAAAAACATGACAGAACAATGCGATGTCAATCACCCAAGACTTACAGATGCTCGCAGAAGGCACTGATGGTAGAAGGCATGGAGGTGAGCTGATTGATGCAGAGGTCTCTGCATGCAGTCAGGGCAGGCAGAGGGGAGAGGATGTGGAGGGGAGCGGATGTGGAGGGGAGGGGACGTGGATGGGAGGGACGTGGAGGGGAGGGGATGTAGAGGGGAGGGGATGTGGAGGGGAGGGGACGTGGAGGGGAGGGGATATAGAGGGGAGGGGCTGTGGAGGGGAGGGGATGTGGAGGGGAGGGGATGTGGAGGGGAGGGGATGTGGAGGGGAGGGGATGTGGAGGAGATGTGAAGGCATGCACGGTGAGGTAGGGGCGAGAATGCTTCTTTGCCACACTCTTGGGGGGTGTGCGATGTGGTTCAGAGCTCTTGTACTGGAGGAACATGAGTCAGGGTTGTGATACATACTGCAATGTCATGCCCGAGTGCAGCCTCGGTGGAATATCACAAGCTTTAGAAATTATGGAAGCACGATAGTACGGCAGAATGCCAATCTTGGGCTGTTGGGAACGCAACGCAACGCAACCTAATGATTACATGCTTAATCAAAAGGGCGTTTATGCATTGCTGAGGTAACAATAGGCGGATCTCAAGGGGCGTCTGCTAGAATTTGCCACACGGAGATGAGAAAGCATGGTGAGAGAGAGACTGCCCAAGAGCCTCCAGCACCTCAATCTGTTTGGTGGAGTTGAGACTCGTCATGCAATGCAAGGTGCCACATGGAGGTGCGTTGCAATCCAAACCACGCCATGCGTGAGCTCATGCCAGGCGAGGCGGGCCTAGGCGACTCAGAAGTGAAAGGATGTGCGAGGGTAAGTGGGGAGATGGGTAAGTGGGGGGTGATAGGGGAGGCGAAGGCGGGTAGGAAAGAGTGAAAGGGGATGAAAGATGGGTAGAAATGAGTGAGAATAGGTAGAGATGAGTTTACTTAGAGGGAAGGGGAGGGCGGGTAGGGATGATTTAGATTAAGGGAAAAGGCGGGCTGGGAAAAATCGATGCATATAGGTTCTGGAGGCGAGTGAGTGGAGCGAGACATGAGAGGTCGTCCATAGAGCCTTGCATCCCAGGGAATGGCGGATACTGCTCAATGGGTACAAGACTGCGAGAGCGACAGATGGCAGGGTGAAAGGAGGCGGGCCAGGGGGTGGAGTGATTAGCTTTCTGTGGGCTGCGTGTTGCCCATGGCGTAAAAGGGCGCCACAGTAGAACCATCGCGCAGGAGGCTTTTGAGAATCCTCAAATTGCAGCAGTAGTCACAGCAGAAACGGTGGAGCAGAAGCCCCATCTGGGTGGGTGCATGCAATAGTGAGCACGTCGAATTGAGCATGTTAGGAGAATAGAAGGCGGTGAGCTGCGGTAAGGAAGGTGGAGTGCGAGCTGCGGCATGGAAGGTGTGCACACACGGACGGCCTCATCGTCACATGAGCTGCCCTGCAGCACTGCACTGTGTGCTTCAGAACCATGTGGTTCGCATCACATCAGCCAGTGATTCTTCCCAAGAGCCTCCCAAGCATCAAGTTCTTGAGGTGCAGTCACACATTTTCCCTTGACTGCCTGAGCATACACAGTATTCTGTTCCGTAGCCATGTTGCTACGCTGCTACAGCTTCTGCAAATATGTTGATGGCGATTCACACACATCATGCATGCACCATGGCATTCTCCATGGCATGCACCAGCAGGCAGCAAGAGCCACATTCCATTCATCCCCATCAGTCTCACTCTGTTGGAGGGTCGTATGCATATCCATGAGGAAATGAGTCAAAATACTGCCGTGGTGTTCCAATGTGCCTGCCTGTTGGGGCCACTGCAGACAGAGGGAAAGGGGGTTTACATGCTTGCAACGGACTGGTGCGCTACGAAGGAAAGGGGAGCAGCGGCTGGGAAGTGGAGAGGGCACAAAACAACGTGTCAATACGAGGTTCAAGCAATGTGCTTGCAAGCTTGGGGGTGGAGGAGGACAAGGGAGAGAAATAGGAACGAAAGGAAGGAGGTTGGGGGAGGTGAGGGAAGAAATACAGAGATTGGAGTGCAATGAGGCGACTGATGCTGCCAGGGAGACTTCCACTGAGTTTCAGGCCCTGGAGGTTACTGGGATGGGATGCATACGAGTTGGTGCACAGAAGAACGTGCCAGTAGGGGAAAATGTTCATTGGCACTCTAATAGATAAGATTGAATTTCGGAAATTGGTAAAGTAGGGTGCATGCTCCATAACAAAAAGAAAGAAAGAAAGGCAAGAATGAAAGCACTCTCCATAGCCGCGAGATGAACTGCCCCCGTCGGCCACGCTAGACACGTGATGGAATCCCGGATTCTGATTCTGCCTCATGTGATAAGGGCAGCAGGTGAACGCCAGAATCATGTTTCATCATGCCCTGTTGCCTTGCCTTGACACTAGAGCCCCCTCTTACAGGTACTACAGGCTCTTGGCATTGCTGATGGTTTTCGGGATGGATCCTCCGAAGTTGGTGTGGCTCAGATCTCTAGTGTGTGCCATGGCAACCGAGTGGGCGGGGGGGTACGCACAGCTCACATGTGGGAGAGAGCGACAAGGAAGGGAAACCGATGATAAACCAACCATTGACTCGACTCGAACGATGAAGGTGGGTATATAGGTGAGAAAGTGCAATGGTGGAAGGGGAGTAGTTGCGTACACATATTGCAACTTGGGGAACTGGCCGAGAATCTCCAGGCGTCCAACGAAGCCATTTCTTGACAGATCCCTACAGAGTGGCATGCAACGCAATGCAATCTTAGAATCGTAGTTAGAATGAAGTAGCCATAGCTAGGGTTTAGGGTACGGGCACAGGAGCGGCTGACTCAGTGGCTACCGAAGCAAGGGCGACGGACTACTGGAGTGACTGGCTCCGCGGCTAAGACGAGCGGCAGGAGCAACGGACCCACTGGCGACTGGTGCAACAGGCTCGCTGGCTACCGAAGCAAGGGCGATGGACTACAGGCGCTGCAGGCGACACGACAGCTACCTCCACACAACCTCCTCCAACTGACCCACACCCTTGACACACACCCCCTGCTGAACCCCTAACTCCACTCGCACGTCACCCCCCTAGCGCCATTCCCCTCGGCTCCCACACACCCACTCCCCTCAGCGGCAGCTGCAGCAGTGGGAGACGGAGGAGGAGGAGGAGGGGACGGTTCACACACCCGCCACCCCCATACCCGTCACCCCCATACCCTGAGTGTGCGGTAAGCGAGCTCAGGTGTGCGCGAATCGTGCACAAGTGTGCGGGAAGCGAACTCGGGTGTGCGGTAAGCAAACTCAGGTGTGCCGGGGAGGGGGGGGCCGCAGGGCGACGCGTGGGTCGACGGGGACGAGCGCACGGGTCCCCGGGGGCGGCGCGCGGGTCGACGGGGCCGCTGCGAAGGGCGACGGGGATCCGCGCACGGGTCGACGGGGCCGCCGCGAAGGGCAACGGGGAGCCACGCGCGGGTCAACGGGGCTGCCGCGAAGGGCGACGGGGAGCCGCGGGCGGGTCGACGGGGCCGCCGCGAAGGGCGACGGGGAGCCGCGCGAAGGTCGACGGGGACGGGCGCGCGGGTCGACGGAACGCGAAACCGCCGCGCGTGCCCAGGGTGCGCGGCGGGCAGGAAACCGCCACGCGTCCCGAGCGCATGGCGGGCAGAAAACCGCCACGCGCCACGAGCGCGCGGCGGGATGAAAAAGTGTCGCGCGCCTGGGGCGCGCGACCAGCAGAACAGTAGCAGCGGAAGCAGTAGGCGGACCCACAGGCCAAGAGCGTAACAGCTCTGATTCCATGTCAGAATCCCAACCACTAGACCATTGGGATAAAAGGGCTTGTTAAGTAGCGGGTCAGTGCGCCCATAACCCCCCAGGCCAACATGCCTGTAATCCTTCCCTAGGATCAATCGGGGATCACCAGTGGACCTCTGACACCCCCCCGCACTGGGATGCCCGAAGTGCACACACTGGGATTTGAACCCGAGACCTTCGCTCTGATACCATGTTAGAATCGTAGTTAGAATGAAGTAGCCATAGCTAGGGTTTAGCTAGCTAGGCAAGAGAGAATAAGCAAAGGAGGGGTTTCACTAGCAGTAGTTGGGATACATATAGCAAACCCTAACAGGGTTGTACTCGCTATAGAGCACCCCACTACAGGCTAGATAATAACATTCTGACATGCAATGCAAGAGGCAGGGTGACTATATGAGAAACGAACCCAAGAGTCTAAGCTTCGAGGTCCTGTACCTTTCAAGCTTCGAGGGTTTGCGGATGTTTATAGAAAAACTAGTAGTACCTATGGAGCGGCAGGTGGAATGAGAGCAAGAGATACACAGGGAATTCCCAACTATGTGAGAAGCATTATACTCTGTGTGAGGATTTTTCTAGGTCGCCAGCACACATGTTCCAATGGTGTTTCAGCGCACCCTCAACAACCCAATCTGTGGACCTTTAAGTACCCCTACAGCCATCCACCCTGGCTCCCCCCAACAATGGTAAGCACTGACAGTTTCTGAAGCACAGAGAGGGCTGTGATGGCTGCTGGCACATCGCCATACGAATCAATAACGAATGCGGACCTACATTACGTAACATGCGATGTGAAATGGAAAAAAGAAAGGCAAAAAGAAAGAATGAAAGAAAGAAACACGTGGATAATGTTGTACGATTTCGATAGAAGCGGCGGCATTGCTGCAGCAGGTTCACTAATGCGTGCTGCACACTGTGTCAGGAGCAAAGGCATGCAAGTTCTCTCCAATTAGGTCGCAGTTCCTGCCTTCCCCCTATCCCCATCCCCACTTACGTCCTTCCCTGTGAGCATCTAGGATCGAGTTCAGGAAAGAAGTTCTGAATTGAATGATCCACCTGGGTACAATGCGAGGCTATATATAGGCTCGACACAAGGCAGGTAACCCAGGTGTTAGGCGAATGTTCAGAGGGTCGCGAAGCGTCCCAAACAGAACCTTCCCGAACTCGGTAGAAAGCAATTCGGTGGGAACCGAATAAGCTTGAGTTCGGTACACGTAACCTGGTTCGGTGCTATAACTATAATAAAATATAGGAATGCACCTAACCTAAGAAATCAAGCATATCTATGCATGATAAAATAAACCCAAGCTAGAAATAGCATAATAAAGTCCAGGCAAGCTAGCAAAGTCAGCATAAGCCGTCGTACTCTCACATTTCCCCATGTACCCGCTACTCCTTTTCCAGAGTGCACAGCAAGATCTCATGACAAAGCTTACAGCTCAGTAACCATGCCGTCTTGGTTACACTTCAAGTCCGCATATCCGCTCTCACACTCATCACAGAACACGTTTGACGAGGTACAATTCATCCACAAATTCAATGCCTGGTTCAGGGCCAGAAGCGCTTTCACTGAGGGCAAGGTAGAGGAGGAGATTT